CCCCCGCCTGCGTCCCGCGCCCCCCGCACACCCCGCACACCCCCCGCCACCCGCAGAGCTGCAGCCGCTCGCCAACAACACCGCACATACTGAACCTTGACTTTAATATTATCCATTTATTGATAATACTATAAGAATCGATATAATGCCCCGTTTACATTATTCCAGTACAGTGATCGAATCAAGTATTTAAATACAACTGGAAATATTATGCCAAATTGCATTCCAGTATGGGTTTATGTTATACATTTGTACAATTCTGACCTAGGTTCGAGCGCTGGACTGGAATAGTACAAACTAGGCGATACAGTTACACTTGTACTGCTATATGTTTTTGTCCCTTTCATTATTTTTGATAAAATAGAGACAACAATATGTAGCAATACAGTAACGTAGTGGAGTTCAAATGTAAATATGGTACTTTTAAGACTGACTTTTGCTCCATACAAAATTGTGCTTTGTGTATATTGTTTTAATTATTAATTAAGATTGCCAGTAATTAATATTTGTAAATATATCTCAGACTTATGTTAAATATTTTTTAAGTTAAAAAGTATTTTGACATGTACAGTGAAACAAGTACATTGATCCGGTGAGAGAAGCGATACTATGGTGGTCTTTGAGATCAAAATCGCTGTATGAAACATATCGTCATCCCGCATCTTTGAAAAAAAACACGGTGATATAAAATGATATAAAAGAAAAAAAAATACATGACCGATCAGCTCACAAAGAGGATCATATGATATTGACAGAGGGGCGCTAGTGAGCTGTCATAATTTAGTTTGAGTTATGTCCGCCGGGTGAGATATCCTCGTCGGACTATACATACCGTGGTCATCCTGAAGGCTGATAAGTCGACGTGCGGGAACAAATAATAGTAAAAAAAAAGTTTTTTGTGCCTTCATTACAGGGTTTTGGATATAGCATAATATATTTTGTTACAACTAGTTTTATTATAAATATTAAGAAATAAATTGTTTCCTAAGATGTTTTTTCTTTTATATTTGTTTGAAGGTACCTCTAGAATAGCCGCATGGATCTCGCTGAAATTTGTCATTCACGTAGAACATAGTCTTGAAGAAGACATAGGCTATTTTTTTTTAATTTCACGTGGACGGAGTCGCGGGCAACAGCTAGTATTGCAATAAAAATAACGAATATTCTACCTATTATTTTAATCAGTAAAAAGCTTACAACTAAACATTCATTCAATTAATAACATCATGCATCTATAAATAAATTAGGTAAACGTGTGTTTATATCCATTCGTTCAACTCTACAGTCTCTGACTTCGACCACACTTGTTCTTAACAGTCGGTGAAGAGTAGTTGATCATGAAGAATGCAATGCAGTGGAGGAGGTGTGCCAGCAGTGTGTCAGTGCGGCAGAGGCTCGCGGCGTGTCTCCGGCACCGCCAGCAGCGCCAGTGCTGCAGAGAGCGCGCACGCCGCGTACAGCAGCGCCTGCACCGGCTTGCTCTGCACAACATACAATATTAATAACTAGCCGTTGCCAGATACTTTTTGTGCCCAATTAAAAAAAAATAGTAATAAGTATAGCCTTCATCTTCTGAGGTTAGTGTAGCTTCTCAACAGTGAAATAATTTTTCAAATAGATGCAGTGGTTTCGGAACCTATTCAATGCAAACAAATCAAATCTTTCCCCTTCATAATCTTACTAATATTATGAATGCGAATGTTTAGATGGATGGGTCTTTGTTTGAAGGTATCTCCAGAACGGCTGCATGTATCTTAATAAAATTTGGCATAGATGTAGATCATAGCCTGGACGAAAGCATAAGCTACTATAATTATTATTTTTCTATTTCGCGTGGATAAATTTGCGGGCGACTACTACTATTAGTATAGATAAAACCATTATTTAATAATAAAACCCGTATGTTTCCTCTTCCTTCAAATGAGACGAGGTTAATACCAGTAGTGGTGTCTGCGGGGCGAGCACGGAGCCGACGCGGCCGAGCAGCGAGGCGGCAGTGAGCGCGCGCGCCCGCACTCCTGTCGGGAACAGCTCCGTGGTGAACACGTACAGAGAGTTGAACGCCGCAGTCGCCGCCAGCTTGCCCGCGAAGTACAGCCCCAGACCCGCGCCCCCGTGTGCTGACAAAACAAACATAGCTACAACATATACAGCGTCGGTGGCTCTTAAGCACTTGAATTGTAATCCACAGATCTTGTGTTCGATTCCCGCTATGTACCAATGTGTTTTTTGATTTACATTTATCCGCCGTTCTTACGATGAAAGAAAACATGAATACGAGGAAATTTAAAAATATGTGTGAAGTCAACCAACCTGCACATGGCCAGCGTGGTTGTCTATGCCCCTTAATTTAGAATAAGCTCCGAGCCCCTCAGTGGGGACGTATAGTTTAGGACTAAAGCAGTTACACCTCAATTTCGTTCTGTATGTACTTACTGACAAAGAACGGAGTGATGCAGGCGACGCCGCAGAGCAGGAAGGCGACGAGCACGGTGCGCTTGCGACCCACGCGCTCCAGGGACATCATTATCAGGAATGAGGCCACCATCTCCATTGTCATGTTCAGCGCGAAGTTCACGTACTGCACACAGATATGCACTTTACCTCCTTTTGATTGCACACAACTTATGAGATAATTAGACATGTTCCGTAGTAGATGACCTTGTCACCGGAGAGTGCGACCGAATTGATGGTGAGACCGTAGTAGACGAAGGCTGCGGCCGCCCAGCACCAGCCGCACGCCGCCAGCCGCGCCAGCAGCGGCCGGGACGTCACCAGCGCAGACCACGGCAATACCGCACGCTTCTTACCCTCTGCTTCCTCCGTATCGTTCTTTTCATTCGCAATTATGGATTTCAATATATCTTCGTTTATTGTGACCTGTAATTGTTAATAAATACACTGCAAGTCAGATGACAATCTATTGTGAAAAATACTTCTGAATTGTTATCATCAGACTTACAAATATTGCTTTGGGGGACAGCTTTTGTTAAAACATTGTTGACTGGCAATGTATTATTTTAAAGAACATTGTAATCAGTGATGTGATAAGTATCAAACAATAAGAACAGTGGTAAGCAATAAAGACCTCTATAAGATATTTCATGATTAGTGTACCTTATTCCACCGGGCGGCTTTTCTTAACACATTGGCCGCTCCCTGCGTGTGTCCTGCGGCGTGCAACCAGCGCGGGCTCTCGTCGATCAGGCGGCGGTACAACGGTAGCAGCAGCGCGGGAGCGTACGCGGCGCGCACCAACCAGCGCCAGCGCGGAACTCGCCACGCCAGCAACGCGAATACCACGCCTCCCAATCCGTAAGCCACGCCCGTCGCGCACGCAAACGGCGCGCGTAGCGACGGCCGCGCTAGCTCTACCACTGTCAACAGAATGTGCAAAGCTTCTACCACACAGACGATATGGTTATATGATATTTGTATCATCATCCCTGTTTTTTTCCTACTTTATGTGGGCTAAGTGCAAATGATTGGTCCTCCAAATCCATTCCGTGACGTCACTTAGACCGACCTTTCTTTCTTCTTCTTTGTCACCTTTCACGCAATCCATCAATTTCTTCTTAGTCCTACTCTTTAGTTTAATGAAAAGTTATGTTTAACGAATATTTTGTGAATGAACGTCGAATAAAGCAACTGGTACTGACATGAAAGTTATTAATGTCATGTGTGCTAACCGACCCACCCATAACATAAGCAGCGCTGCCGAAACCGTAGCCGAGTGCCGCCTCGAGGAACTCCAGCGCCACGTACATGTAGTAGTTGAGGGAGAAGGACTTTAGCAGCCCCAATGTGCCCGCGCATCCAGAGAACACGCAGAACGCTGTGCGCCGACCCCACCTGTTATATACAAATATTTTCTAATGAACGTAAAACTACATAAACATCGTAATTTCGCACAATAAGTTAACAACAGACTTACCGGTCAGAGACGTGTCCGGTAAGCAACAGTGCCAGTGGCAGCGCGGCGTTTCGCACCGAGCCCACCAAGGTGCGCCGCCACTCGCTGCACGCCAGACCGAACTGAGCACGCGAATAGACACAATACACAACTAATTCCGAACCTAATCTATCGTCTCAAACATAAGCACTATTGGTTAACTTAAGTCTCAATAGGCAAGTCACGTACAACACTGTTAATGGGTAAATTATTTTAATTCCTAGACTTCTATGAGATCGTAGGAAGATATTGCTAAAGTAAATTTCAATAACTAAGTAAAATCTAAAAAAAAAAACACCAGACCTAGTTACCTCTGCGTAAACAGTGTCATAGTTCTCATAGACGAAGACGTCACATTCTAGTGTCTCCCTGTGGTGGTAGTCCTCTCGGGCACAGGAGAGGCCCTCGCCCAGAGGCCGGTAGCGGCGACAGGGGTCCGACGACTGCAGCGCCGAAACTGATGCGTTGGCAAATGAAACACCAGCCCCCTCGCATTCGGGTACCAAACATCTAAGTACGATAGGAATAATGAATACGATTCAAACTTTAATTGATATGGAGGAATAATCCCGATATGGCGTCGTTAGTAAATTAAAATTATGTTCTGCGCAACGTCTAGTGGGTAATTGCGTACTCTAAAGTATCCATGAGTAAAGGAGTCCAACCAGCATTCTTTTTGTATCAGTAACGCCCAGTAAGTAAACTTTACCACGAAGATTGGCAACACTAATCGATTTACCGATAACGAGTAATTAGCATCTAGTTATTTCATGCGGAAAGCTTAGGATTTATAAATAGTTTGAAAGTTATTTAAGTATCAAATGCAGTGAAATGCAACCGGAGCTGGGCGGTGGCTAGTTTTTCCACATAATCATAGGTCATTGACCTCGTGCAAATGTCGTTTTGTACAGAAATAGTGTTGCCAAGTGCAAGTGTCTAAATTTAGATGTGTGTGAGCGGAGTATGTAACATTACGCCTCCCACCTGCATACAACCTGTAGCCGAGCCTATACTTTTCTATTTTTAGATATAATTGCACCAAAGAGTTGTTAAACATTCAAGATTTTACCCGCTGCTAACGCTCACTTTATTAATTATCAATTAAACGGAGTAATGTCTCTTAAACTTAGATGAAGACTTCTTACTCAAAAGAAATCCAGGAAGTTATTGACACAAAATAATGTCCTATACTAACTTCAACACGTAAAACGTTTAAACAATCGTGGTTATGCATTTTGTATTGCCATGTAACAAATATTAACATTTCATTGGGGACATGTCATTCCGAAAATAGTACAAATTACATTAAACATAATGAATATTCATTACTAACACGTATTTACAATAATAATGGCGCGTAAAGTCCCAGGTATAGACACGAATGCATTAACATAGATAAATACCATAGTTAATTGTCGTATTTAAATGTAATTAAGCAGAAACTAGTTGTTGAATGCAGGCGCCATCTGCCGGTCATCCTTGCCGAGGTAACCTATTGGGAACAGACTATAAATAACCGTGTTGCCATACGACCCACATTCTCTAAGTTATAAATAATTTTAAAAATTACCCAAGGATTTTAAGTCGAGTTAATGATTTTTGTTATACATATTAATTATATAATCACCAACATTTCAGCATTCTTGTCTAGATTTATTATGTAAAAAACCAAAAACAACTACAAGACTTTTCCATGTATAACCATAGATTGTGATGTTCAAAATATAAAAAATTACACCAAAAAATTCGTTTCGCAAAAAAAAGCATCGTGTTACTTGTAAAAGAAACCTGTAAACACGTTTATTATTTTTATAACATGAAGTGATCGTGTTACACGTAAGACACGGCAGTAATATATCGTGTTCTTACGACATTCACGAATCAGTGGCGACATCTGTCATATAAACCATACTCATATACCGCATCCAGATTATATCACTTCCTAGTTAAGAATAAATACCATGAAATTAGTTATTTACGGCAAATCATAATAACTGATTTGAAATATATTTACATCTTTGTTTTAACTTTTCTAAAGATCGTAATAGCAATCGTAAAACCTGATCTTTTAATTAACGCAATGGACCCATTATTAATACCCTGCAAACATTTTTTTTTATTAACAATAGGTGTCGAGGGTCATCTTTCAAAGATAGGGCATCTTATGAGGCACCGCAGATTTTGGTGCCAGCAGCGCACCCTTATGTCGGACGCCCCGGAGCGATCGCTCCACCTGACCCTATCCTAACGCTGCTACAGGTTTGTTTTCATTTTAAGATTATTTTTCATAATATTTATTAAAAACCCAATTTGGGCTCGACGGCGATTATTTTTTGGTTTTTATTGTGCTTACAAACTTTATAATATTATTTATTAATATGAGATAAATTAAAATAAGTATTGGTAATTAACCCTGTTTGAGCATGCTAAGTTACCTATAATCGTAACTTTAAGTTAATACAACTGCTTTCATACAAGGCAACTTGTTTCACATAAAATTAATGATAACTTCCCTTCAACTCTCACTGTGTTAAGAAAATTCATTATGAGTAAGCATTTAATATTTTATTACATTTATAAATTAACTCTTTCATATGAATTTTTAATTAAATACTAACTGTCGCCCGCGAACCGTCCCGGCAGAATTAAAAAAAAACTTAATTAGTAGCGTATGTGTCCTTCCAGACTATGTTCTACATCTATGCCAAATTTCAGCGAGACTCATGCAGTCATTCTGGAGATTAACTTCAAACAAACATCCATCCACGGAATCATTCATATTTATAATATTAGTAAAATGACTTCCGAGTTGCGACTCTCTAGTTGATAAAGTAAACCAAAAATTCAATTTTATATAGTGTTGGTTTCTGACATTAAAATCTGTGTTTTAAATATATCGTCATCTCTATCTTTATCTTTGACACAACAGATATATGTATCGTAGAAGAAAACAGTATAAAGTGAGAAATATCTGAAACTATACATCAATCTTATATGACTGGAAGATGTTTTGCGAATATATATATTCGATTTTCAATTTGCAGTCTGTACAATTTGCCGAAGTAACCGGTGACTACGATCTTTTAGTATCATATCGATAAAGAACACTATCAGTGGGTTATTTTGCAATTTGATATCGTGTATCTCGGTCCATCTGATGCTATGCTCTTTGGACACGACACACTGTCTGCGAGCATTCGTTCGCATTTATGTATTAATAGAACTATTACATAATGTATGTTGATTCACGTGTGATTATTTTAAGATCGACTAGCTTTGATGCACCGGTGCGTCTGACTTGTGACTATAATTTCGCGATTCGTCGGTTAAACGGCATATACACGAGCCGCGAATAAATAGTTTAAAATAACAGTGGTAGACGCCAGCAACAACATCAGTTGCAAAGATTAGTCGGCTTCTCCGGTGAAACCACGACCATATAGAAGACAGACGTTAAGTGTAATGAGTTCCTAGTTCCTTGGCCTAATTTTTGTCCTCTTGCTCTACCCAGCCTTTTGTTATAAGAAAAGGATGGGAAGAGCTAAGGAAGGTGAAGCTTTTAGTTCGATAGAGTTGCAAGATCAAATACCATTAAAGATATCAAAATATATTGTTATTTTTGGATACGTGCGTAACATCGAGATGGAGACATCAATTTCAAATCAAAAACATTTTTAATTTAAATATCTTCTTCTTTTCACATCAAGAATGAAGTCAAACGTTGGAAACAACTATTACCACAATTTTTTTCTATACCCATTGCCGACATACCCATTGTAATAAGGGCAAGGACAGCTTGTTTCGTCTCACGCGACCAAAATAAAAAAAGACATAAGTACATAATTGAGTTAAAATATAAATATACGATCGTATTGGCAATTTGAAAATTAGTTAGAGCTCAATGCTCAAATGCGAAGTATCTTTTCTTGTTAATTAATAGTATTATTGAATTCGACTTTTTTATTTGTATTTAAAAAAAAATAAAGAGTAAAAATTTTGTTATTTGTTTTATGAAAGTGTACCATGAATGTTTAATTGATAGTGTCGAATTCTTTGTGACGATAAACTGTGAAAATGTAACAACTTCAATATTAAAACCTTGTTTAATAGTCACTTATTTTATTTAGATATAAGTAACTTGACTGACATTGGGTTATAACTGATCTCCAAATACATTTCTATACAGGAAAATATTTACAAAACAAAATACAAAATCTTACCGAAAAGGCACCGAGTCTGCGACAAATACGTAATTCAACGAATACATAGCAGCAAAAATGTTAGGTAGGCAGAGAAGGGTTAGAACATATCGTTGGTACGGACCGAAAGGTCCCAATTGGAGTAAAGCACTCTCCAATGCTTCTCCACCATTCTTCGGTTGGTTCACTCCACTTGAATTTGCACATCCTGTATCTACTCTGCTTGTGTTTACTCCGCCTGAATCTACTCTGATTTGATCAACTTTAGATATATCTACTCCGTCTGTAACACTGCTTATATTTCTGACACCGCCTGTATCACCTGCGCGCGTTTCAAGCGGCACACGGCCCGCCATGTCGGGGCCAGCGCTACAACTTGGAGACGAAAGGTTTTGCTTCTTATCAGTATTGACAACTTTGAGATAAGAGAAAATTAATTTTCTTTACACGTTGCGCTTGGAAACCTCGTATTAATTTGAATTATGTGAACTGTTAAAATGTTTTTAGTTATTACAAATATTTTCAGTTTTGACTTTGTTTACATTACTATCTATCAAATTCAATAGACATTTTATTTTATCTGTGATGTTAATAAAAAACGTTCACAAACCAATCGTTATTCAAGAGTTTTTACGACAGTAAATAAAAGTATTGACGAAAGACATTTAAAAAAATAATAAACAATAATAGTATTCATACGTTTTCGTAATAAAAATGTTAACTCAAAATGTTTGGAAATATTTAAAAAATACTATCTATCCCGCCAAAATATTATCAAAGATCAAGTAATCTTTTATTTGTCTATGTAGTGTAGTTGTGTGCGTATGTTTCAGTTGTATGTATGTATGTGTGTGTTCCTGTATATCAGCATCTGCGCCGATAAGGAGTAGATAAATCAATAGCTTCTGATACCACTCTCAAAGTAATCTCTGATCTTCAGCATAGTAACATAATCCCAATGTAACATTCTAATTTATAACGAGATTAAAAACTGATTGTTACGACATCAACGTGAAGGAAGAAAGACCACGCAAATTACTTCATAGTTTTAGTTTTTTGAAGGTAGAGTTATTAAAGGTCGGTCTAAACTAATATTGTAATCACCGTATTTTTTCCCATTGGTGCCATTATATTTATGATTTTAGAAGAAGCGAGAGAAATTCTTTAATCCGCAGTGAGCTAGTCAGTCACTAAGAGAGATTCATGTACTTTTGGCTTTAACCCCACTTGAAAAATAAATGCGAATGTTCAGATTACTTTAAAATAGCCTCACAATTGTACAGGTATTTAAGCAGTGGATAACCACGGCTATACATCTCGGTTGTTCCAATGACTTTGTAACTTAATGTCGCAACTTTGCATTTATAATTCAGTAGGCGTTCAACTAGTCGGTCTATTTAGAATCGGCGATCGCTTCCAAGTGTTGCAAGTGCGTTTGTTATTAGTATCGTGATCTCATGGTGCACGCATGCGGTGCAGATTCATAGTGCGTGTGTGACTAGCGTTGGCCATTGCAAATGTCAACGACCCCTGTCAGCCGGTGGCCAGCTGTGGCCCACAGAATGTGGCCAACTAAGAATACACCTCATTATATTTTTAAAGCGTGTAGTACGCGACTGTACTAACCGGGAGCACGTGGCGGTACTCCTGCACTGCATTATGACCCGTACTGCTCAGTGTCAAGAGGTAAATTCCCGTTTATCAATGTACGGTTCAACTATCGAGTAAGCGGTTGCCTATCTCCTTTCATATAATCGTGGTGCGCGACTGTTGCGGTTGTCCATTCCCGCTCGGACATCCACGCCGGCGGGACGTTCGCGAACCATAGACAACTTTATAAACCACGTAACTTATATGAACCATAGCCAAGTTACTTGGAGTCAGCTTGGTTGGGGTAATTGAGGGGTAGTCTGTGTAGTCGGTGTTATTAGTGCAATGGAAGGCGAGTGCGTGGGTGGGTTCGGTCGCTGGCAGGTGAGATTGGCGACGCTTCTGGCGCTGCCGGTGCTGCTGACAGGACTCTACGGGACTAACTACGTCTTCTTGGCCGCCAACACACCCTATAGGTATTGCTTTGTCTTTCACTCTGCCTGAATGAACCGGTTTATATGTAAACATGTTTGTATTTAAGCATGTTTTTATTTTTTGTACATTCAGTTGTATTAAACAATAAATAAACGCAATAAAACATTACTTTAATGAATATTTTAATAACTTTTATCTACATAAATTGAGTATGTTTTATCGGATTTTGATTTATAAGCATTATTTTTTTCCAACTCTGGTTCGGTTCCTACTTTACCAATGATATTAGTAATATCGACTAAGCGATGTACAAATGTAAGGTAAAAATTGACTACTTTGACTATGACCAATTTCGTTTCTAATCATTAAAAATATTCAGGCTTTATAAAAAATTCCCACGTCAATCACTTTTACCGTAACATAGCACAACAAGAAACAAAAGTAAAGTACCTATAGTCAGTTTCTACAGACGACATAAATTTGATTATTTACGTTTACTTTTTAAAATAAGTAACACATAAGTTTTCAATACTTATACAGCAAGTTATATAAAAAGTGTAAAAGACGTAATATGTTTTTTTTTACTTCGCTGGAATTGGATTCGACCAGAATAAATTTGAAAATATTTTAAACTCGGGTTCGTTATCAAGGTCATTTCAGGATCATTTGTGGTTATATGTACTATATCGTAGTTTTATTTATTAAATCAATAGAAACATAACATTTCTGTGTGTATTAAAACATGTATTTTGTTTTTAGTAAGTTTCATAGAATTTTTTGTGTTTGCAAATTATTACAAAAATCGGTGAAATTTTGGTAGACGAGATTAAAAATGGGTAGGCTAAGTTAATTTAGTAAAATTTTTATTATTATAATTTCCAATAAATTAAAGAGTTTAAGATGATAAATATTTCTAAATATATCCATTTATATTACATACAGATCAATTGTTTTTTGATGTAATTAAAAAAAAATATCTTGGTTACAAATGTCTATGGTTCGTAAGAATATTGTTTGTATTAATTTTACAAGTAGCCAGCGCGTGTCATCAGGAAACATTAAAGTTCTCTACAGAATACAAAATCATTCGTATGTCAGTCCATATCCTCTTAATCCTAATAAATGTGTTTATTTAAATACACACACACGTCTATGAATACATATTTTTCGTGCACAGACTATCAAACGTTTTGAAATATAATTAAACTTTGTCTACTTGACATAATCAATATTATAACTGCAATAAAGCTTTTATTATCAAATAGTGTTTGCCCGCGTCTTGGTTAGCGCGGTATTAAAAAATAGCCTAAGTAACTCGTACAAACGCATTATAGCGAATAGACAAAAAAATAATGTTTTTTTCGTTATAACTAACGCATTTGCACTGAAAGATATCAAACGCCGCGTGTTATATTTAGGTATTAAAAATGTAATAAAATAAATTTTTAATATTTTTTAATGTGCAAACAATTTGTGATGCTTACAACGTTGTAAATGTTAACATTGAAATAAAACTAAATAAATTTATATAACCTACAATGTAGGTCGTTATGACATTTAAGTTTTTTTATAGACGGATTCAAAGAAAAAAAAAACAATAATCCAATTTTTTAAATATAATGGACTGGATATAGATATAATGGATGGTCAATTCAATTACTGTGTCCATGACAAGGAAGTAAGGTTTTGGCGCCAAATTTATTGGGAACGACGCGCTGGTTTCCGCGGCGTTTATCTGTGCCCGATATTTTTCACGCGACCAAAATAAAAAGAACACGCGTTCGCGATTTGCTAGCGATCGTTTCTAAAACAGTACAATGACTCACATAGTTAAGTTCAAGAATCCTGACCGATATCTAGCACGGCGGCAAATCGTGGCTGAAAGTTTTTCTCTCAAAAAAAGTAAGAGTCACAGACTATATTATTTTTAATCTGTGGTCTCCTCTATCTTAGACATTGGCATCATTTTTAAATGTAAATTCTAACAATTTGTAATTATTGATTAGTAAATCAATTTCTTTTTTAACTTTAAATTAAAAATTAAGAGGTGTGCTTCACATTCGATGTAACACTATTTCGTTTGGAGGTGCTAACAATTTTTTTGATAGCATTTTAGCACTACGGTAAGGTATAATCGGTCATTAAACACAGTACGTTGTGTCGAATTTTTATAGTACCGTAGAGTTTGATGGCCTTAGCTAACCTCTATGTTTGCTATTAATGTAGGTCACAAAGATTAGCTTGATTTAGAAAGATTTCACACCACTTATAGGATTAAAAATATCTCTTCTTTAATCTTCACGTGGAATTTATACTTATTTTTATACTTTACAATAAACATTGGAAAAATGCATAGTGGAACGCCCAGCTGCAAGTTTATTAAATTTCTAAAATAAAAGTTAACTAAAATAGTACCGGCCGAATGTATTCACCTTGGTCATGTATTCTAGAATAAAAAAAAATCATGTGTGTTAGAAAAACATAAATAAACGTATGGTGTTTGTTTACGCGCCGTTTGCATTATCTGTGGGTCACGTGACTTACGCCGGCCGGCGCGATGCGCACGTGGCGTAGGCGCGAAATAAAAATATTATTATTACGAATCTTTGCATTTAGTTTTGATTATTTTAGAATCGATAGTGTCAGAAGATGGCTCAATATGAAAATTTGTCTCTATCGACCAGAAATGTTGAATCGATTGGAGCTAATGTTTTTTTTGTTTACATTGTTAATACATCGTAAGAAATAGAAATTATAAAAACTACTGTTTGCTGAATAGAAATACTGTCGGAAACATTTGATTTTGCATACAGTAGAATTTTGAAAGCGTTGTTAAAATTAATATGCAATTTAAATAACTGTAATCTTTTTAATGCGTGTTAATTTGTTATGTTGTTGTGTCCGGTGTGAGTCAGCCATGTTTGTTATACTCCGTTGTACACGTGTTTACTCAACAATGTTATTGTTTAGTTATGTTAATTGATATCCCATAAAGCTTTTTTCCTTCGCAATTAACGCAAATTAAATTTAAATGTGCTTTAATTTATTTATTCTACTTCATTAGCTTCCTTTGATAATCGTGATATTTTTCAAAAACTGCAGTGTTACCGTGATATTTATTTATTAACTGAAAAATTAAATAGTACACGTGATATCCTATTTTAGATCCACCCTCGTCCTCGTTATGTTTCGTATTTTTTTTTGTACCGGGTGATGAATCTCTACGATTAATGTCAAAATGATTTTAAACAAATATAAGTATAGAAATATGGGATCCTCCTATTTGAACGATAACTCTTATCAATTGTTAATATTGTAATCAATAAAAAGTCAGTAACCGTATTAAATGTTGCCGAAAGTCAAAACATAAGTCCGGTCGAGAGATAAAGTGAACTTTACTGCAACTGTCTGATATTTACATAATATGCCACAAAAATCAGTGACCCAGTAATAAAGTCTAATCAGGGTTATCATGAGGCAGACCTTTTTTCTTATAAATAAATACAAACTAAAAAAAACTAATAATATTACTCGTAATTTTACCTAAATAAATAACAAATATTTTCTTTCTGTGCATCCTCTCCTCCTTCGATTAAAGGTAGGCAACGCATATGCAATTGCGTTTGCCTATGGGCAACGGTCACTTCACTATTTCAGCGATTTCTAGTGGCCGCTCGCTCGTTTGCCACCTTATGATATAAAAAAAAAATAACACACGCATGAAAAATGTTGCTCTCTTTTCAGTCAGGAAAAAGGAGTATGTGTCATTTAAACTTCAAATTGGTGTTAGAAATATCAAGTAATATGACCACAATAGCCGTGGATTAAACGATTCTTTCAAACTTTTATCTAAAAATCTCTGACAACAATAAAATATAGTAGTTTCATTTATCAGATTTCTACTGTTGCATAAATTTGGGTCGATTCATTTAACATTTTATTAAAAATATTGTCACTTGTATAAATGCAGACTTCATAATGTTTAAGAAACAAAAAGTATTGAATACAAGGACCACTTTTTTTTCCATTACACTTTATATTGTGAGTAATTTTGAACGTACTGTTTATTGATCACAAAGTTTAAAAGATTCCATATTTTTTTTACTCTATGGACGTAAATTAAAAAAAAATAGTTTGGCTTTATGACTGGAAATCCACAGCTTTGCTCTCAACGATGCCCATTGTTATTGTTGATCGAAGGCCGTATCATTTATATTGCCTCATATCGTTGACTTTTTTTTGCAAAGAATATGACAGATGATTTGTAGAATTAAAGGTCTCATGACAGACGCAACCCAATGTTAAACATTCCTTTATACCGTACCTTTAGATGAACTTGGCTCTATCATAATTAAGTCATTGAGTCTCTGTCAAAGTTTATCATTATGAATGCTTAATTGTTTTCATAATACTAATTGTATTGAACGATGAATAAACAACAGTTTTATTAAATGTTAACTGTATATTAGTTATATTCCTTCCACGACATTCATGGGTTATCAAATAGTAGCCCTAAAACATTGGACTTTGTCATCAATACTTATAAGTTTCAAATTGTTATCTTTATAAAATTACAAAAGCAGGCATATCATAGATTCAATATGTTTCGTTAGTTCTGCTCGCTTGTTCGAATCTATGGTTATGGATCAAATACAATACCGTTCAAACACTATGTATCAACTTAATACTAATGCCCAACATACTCAAGCTTGACTGCGAGATAGTGCGACTCTGGGTACGTGCACACGTCGTATATTTTCCGACGTAATATTTTTCCCAATATGTGTTACCTACTGTTATATGAAATAAATAAATAATACATTCTAGGTACTCCCGGACAAATAAATATTTAAATATTAGTCAGTATCTAGTGCAAATTTTCAATTACTATCATTCGTTTCTTTCCATCGCCCACAAACAGAGGAATGTCAAAATCAATACTGGGGGGTTAGACAAAGTGCAATCGCTCGGAAACGATTCCATAACGAAATTCAAATATACGTATAGAACTAACAGTAACTTTGGATAAGTCACGTGATTGTCGCGCCTCAGTTCCATACATTTTTGAAGTTCGCTATAGAATCGCTTTGAAGCAAATACACTGTGAGGGATCTTTGCAATAAAACTATTATTTCCTCACATTTCCAGGTTCTTTATTCATGTTCTGACACATGTTCTTATTTTTCTTAAACTCTAAAACAAACGTCACTTCTTTTTGACACATTTTTACAAAATAGGTTTTAATCTACAACACACACTTTCTCAAACCGCAATGGACGCTACGCTATTTCAATTATTTTGTAAAATTACTAAGTATAGTGGAGATATAATTTGACTATAAGGTTTTTAACCGAAAATATTTCTCCGACAAATATTGACTTAGTCTTTAATGGGATCGGTTTTGGATTAGAACAAATTATACGTTTTTTTGTGAATAATTATGAATCGTAAAGGTCCATAAGTAAACCAGGTGTTCAGTCACGTGAGAGGCGCTTGCAACTGGTTTGTGCTAAAATTAACGCAAGCGGTCATACAGCTGGGGGAGTGGCCTGTCGCTCACTTCAATTATCCCATCGTTTTTATCGCGCTGCCGACTTGGACAGAACAAGTCTTTAAATGTAAACTATGACTCATTTCTGAGACACGACATAGCAAATACAGTTGGAAATGTTTTATATACCAATTTAGTGATAAGAAATAATATTCAAAAGTAACGGTATAGTCTTAATAAAATGTTACTTCTTACTAATATTATAAATGCGAATGTTAAGATGAATCGATGGATTTTTATTTGAACGTATCTCCAGAACGGCAGAACGGATCTCGATGAAATATGGCATACATATAGAACATAGCCTTGAAGAACACATAGGCTACTTTTTATTGCAGACCGAGACTCGGGCGACAACTAGTATTATTTATAAAATTACTAAGCTAAAATAAGATACACATAGAATTATTTATATGAAGAGTCTTTGTCTTCATTTAACGTTGATAAGTTGAATTGAATTAATAGAATAGTTATTCTAGAATAAATGATAGCGCGTGTTAATCCAACAGGCAGTAGATTAAGCCGGTGCTATCCCGCTCGCTTATCTCCTAACATTCGCTAACCTACCTACACACGCGGTTAAAGGTTAAGCTAACAATTCACTATCTATCTCATCCGTTAATAATTATGCGGATTATCATATCTCAGATGGATTCTAGAACATTGGAAAAGGTAAGCAAAAGAGAATAAATATTATACCAGCTAAAGAAATTAATTTAATCATGTCAGAAAATATTTTTACATTAGAGAAATAAAGTGTAGAAAGTGAAATTAGTTGTTTAAATCAACGTTCAATCGTCGTAGTTCAATGCTACGGGTTGCTGTTAAACTTCGATAAAGTTAAAAAAAAATTAAATACTGTGAATCTAAATGGGTTTAATGTAATTCACTGTGGTTGTAAATCGTTAATTAATTAATGCCATGACACCGATTCCTAAACAGGCAAATTGGATGCTGGTACTTTATCTGTCTACATATATAAATATTAATTTTGTATATATCGTAAAGACTTAGAACATAGTGCCTTTTCGATGTACTTATGGGTATGCAGGTTATATGTTCTTAAATTAAAAACCTGTCTTGATTTGTAAATATAGGTTTTATTACTACTTGTTTTACGAACTTTTATAGCTACAATATTGTGTCGTCTATATTATCAAGCGAAAGGTCCTTTGTAAACCGGTCTTATTAATTCGTAAATGAAAGGAAATCTTAAGCATAATAAATTGGAATGATAAAGATCTTGTATAAAGATATATATTTTTAATCAATTTTACTACGTAAATCAAGTGGTTCAGAGGCAAAGCGAATAATGTTTTATTCACTTGAATGAGTCACGCATCGCCGGAGCTTCGCCGCGTGCAATTTGTTTCTTTATTTTTGTTTTTTGTCAACTCTTCTCAAATATTTTTCCGGGATAGACAATCTCTCGACCTTGAACCTCGACAAACTGTCCTTTGCCTTCTCGCTTGCAAAAACAATAAGCAAACCATAGTGCTTTCTACAAAAAATGCAATGTGATAGCCTAATATTTTTTTTATCTGTGATTAGTTGCCGCCTTTTTCCAGTTACAATGTCAATGTCGAAGGTTTTTACATGTAAACTTTTTCAATAAAATTCGATTGCAATTCTTTTTTTTATTTATTTTTTAAGTAATGGAAACCAGATTTGTTTAACACAATACTAATAGATTATTGTTTCGTTTTTTAACTTGTGTTTTATATTTTTTATGAAGAGCACTGACGCACTTGGTTATAGTGCCAAATAGAAGTTTTTATTTAAAAAGTAAAATGTCCGAATGTATTATTCGACCAGAAACACACAGGTTTTACAATATTGGCGTCACGTGAGTGTATCGTCCACGAATGTATATGTTACAAAATATTTTAAAGTAAAAGAACAGTAGGTTGAGAGAAAGTACGAGTTGTCTGTACATGTCACGTGAGGCACACACGGGACTGGAAAGTTACCATTCAGTAAACGGAGAGCGGGTGATGACGCGACGACGGGGTACAGATTCAAAGACTATTGTCAAAAATCTATGTCGACCCCGTGACCTAATGAAATGTTAGTATTTAATTTTAATCCTGAACTGATTCGTTTTGGTACACCGAATATGTAATCGTACAGTCATGTACTAGTTGAAGAATTGGTTCAGCACGAATTGTCTTCTTCCGCCGTTTAAGTAAGGAGACTCTTATTGACTTTAAATGGTTTAATTGATGTTAAATGTAGATCATTTACCTCTCATTGATACTCAGAGGTATTAACGGCAGCCCTTTAGTGGTAACGTTAGTCTATGTTTAAATTTTACAGTATTAAATAATACTTTCATGTAATTTTAACCATTGTTTCTGTTATTCCGCCTGATAATTTGTTAATTATTTTGTGATCACTACAACTTGCAGAGATATTTGTTTCAGGCGTTTTTTATAAATTATACCTGATAAAAAGCAAAAACTCGGTGTTTTTTCTACAAGGACGGACATGTACTCAAAAGTAAATATTATATCAAGATTGTTGTCCTCAGATGCCACATATCAGAATGCGAAGACAACGGTACGCTGGAGGCGGTGTCTCCCAGCAGCTGGTCTCCTGACTGGGCAAATTTCGCGCTGCCGGCTGACGACGCTTGCTCGCGCCACCCTGCGGTCTCCGATGCCTGCGACCAGGATTCTTTTGACAACACGTCCAGTGTAATGTGCGACAGCTTCGTCTATTTGGAGCACAGAAGTATAGTTGCTGAGGTACATTGGTGATTTCTTTACCAGTATTACGTTACAAATTTAAATAAAATTAATAGTCAAATAGTCGATTGTTTCTTGAATAGACCGATTCCTTGTAGGAAATTCCCTTTGATAGGATAGGAGTTCCCTTTTCCATTGTTGTTTGCTTGATGATATTTTGTCTTTCGTTCTAGTTTAACTTGGCGTGCCAGGAAGGCAAGCGCGCGCTGGTGGGCACGGTGCATAATGTTGGCATGCTGGTTTCACTGCCGATCATGGGCTACATCTCCGACAAGTAAGTCTTTACTTATGTTATCAAGACTTGTACTGAAGAATAAGGAAAATTATCAAGTTTCGAATTATGTTGTGTTTAATTGCGGGAAATCCTTTTCGAGTCCTATGGTATCCTTTTTATGTATTAATTTTCTTCTTTTCTCTGCAGGTGGGGCCGTCGGGCAGCACTAGTAGTGAGCGGCACGGGCGCAGGTCTCCTCGGTCTGTGCAAATCTTTCGCCGGTTCGTACACTGCATACATTTTGGCCGAGTTCCTGGAGACAGTGCTGGGTGCCAGCGTCTATCCTGCTGCCTTCGTACTCAGTAAGTTCAACTTCTTTTCCAACGGGTGAAGTGCCGGTTAAGCTTAACAAGATAACAATAGTGTAAAAGCTACAAATCTGTTAATAGGCCGGAATTTTCAATGAAATTCAATTTGTTCTTTACAGTGATCGAGTGGCTGGGAGTAGAACAGCGTATTTTAGCGAGTCTTCTTCTCGGTATACCGTTGTCAGCCGGTGCGGCGACCCTGGCTCTGCTGGACTACTTGACCGGCTACTGGAGGCTGTGGGCGCGAGTGGCGTATCCTCCGTCCTTCCTTCTTCTCCTGTACCCTTGGCTACTGCCGGAGAGCGTTCGATGGCTGGTCGCCAACAACAAGCTGCCCCAAGCGGCCAGGGTCATCAAGCAGGCCGCGAGGTGGAACAGGGTGGCCTTGCCCGAGGACGCCATCGACAAGATGCTCGCTACACAGACCGAGCCGGTCGTGGACAAGACCGAGGTTGAAGACGACGAAGAAGAAAGCTTATTTAGAGCTTTTATTAAGTGAGAATAATTATGATTTCAGTATCTTGATAATAAGTAATGACTTAGTCGCAACATGAGATAGTTGATGAGTGTCCGAAGCGGTATTTAAGAGGTGATGAGATGTTTTGAGTTATATGAATGATTTTTGTATAGATACGGCGAGCTGCGTCGTCGGCTGCTGACGTGCTTCGTGTGGTGGTCGTCTGCGGTGTTCGTGTTCTACGGTCTGGCTGTGCGCGCGCACGCGCTGGCGGGCAGCCCGCACGGCAACTACGCGCTGCTGGCGGCCGCCGAGCTGCCCGCGCTGCTGCTCAACACGCTGCTGCTGGACCGCGCCGGCCGCCGCCCGCTGCTCACCGCCGCCCTCCTCCTCACTGCGCTCGCCCTTATCGCCATACCGCTGCTGCCTGACTGTAAGCCCCTCCACCTTACTACCGCCCGAAACATAACTAGCCAGAACGGTACAGACGGACTAGACTGAAGCATTATTTAAAATATCGTATTGCATGTTTACAGCGGAGGGCGTGTACGGCACGGCGCTGTTCCTGGTGGGCAAGGTAGGGGCGACGATGGCGCTGAACGCGCTGTACGTGTACACGGCGGAACTGTTCCCGACGCGCGCCCGCCAGCGCCTGCTCGCCGCCTGCTCCACCTGCGGCCGCCTCGGCGCCATCCTCGCGCCTCTCACGCCGCTGCTGGTGAGCTCTCGTAAACACTACTCCTATACCAACAACATTAGGTTGTTATCACTACCTGCGTCATGTTTAGTAGTAAACTACTGGGCAGAAGCTGACTTGACTTAACGCTCCTGCGTGCAATGCACTCCTGCTTTCCTAATCAGGTCTTCCCTAAATTTTGGTTCCTGACATACCAGCGGTTGCTACATAGCAGTATAATATTTGTCAGGCTGCATACGGCACGTGGGTGCCGCCGACGCTGCTGGGCGTGCTGCCGCTGGCGAGCGCGGCGCTGACGCGACTGGTGCCGGAGACGCTCGGCCGCCGACTGCCGGACCGCTTCCGCGACCTGCAGCTGCCGCAGGACTCCATCGCGTGACTCCCCCCTCCCCGCCCCTGATCTCACTACACACGTAGCATAGACTTACCATTATACTTAGCTTATAAATTAAAATGTACGGTCATAATGAAGGTAACTGGTATACTATCAGTAGTCTCTTAGTGTAGATTTCTCTTTTAAATCTACACTAAGCAGCCTCTTTGGTGATCAAGTAACCGCTCAGTGTGCGGTAACAACAGATATTTTACCTGCGTCATGACTGCGAATATAATAATTGTAATTCCTAATAACTTAGTTTACTCAATTACCTTAACGTTGCTAAGTACAAACATAAGTTTAGTTAAAGATTTAATACTTAGTTAAGTATTCTCGAATTGTGTTTTAACCGATTTCAAAATGAGGTTATCGATTTGTCTGTATTTTTTTATATTTTAAGTAAGTTACTAAAGTTTTAAGATTTTTCATATATTCGTGAGTCTGTAATTTCACAGATTCACAGAGATTTGTTGCATTAAAACAGCAAATTCATATATTTCAAGCAAATAAAATATAACAAAGTTTGTTGATAAATATTGTTGGTGCTGATATTGTTAAGAAGACTCGTGCCTTTTTCATGGACAAAAATATTAAAAGAATCTAGTTGTATATATTAATCTCAAAGAGATTTTATATAATTTTTTTTTTAATTTATATACTTTTTCTAAACAAAGAGTTTGTATACCTCTCTAAATTGTATTATATCTAATGTAAGTTTTTAAAAGATAAACATAATAGTGAAAGACATCTTAAGGATAAAAAATATAAGCAAACATCTCGCTATTTGATAGTAATATTAAACAATAATCACAACAAATTAGTTTTAATTATTTACGAATACCTTTTCATGAAAACGAAAAGAAATTAAAAGACCATCTATACAGTTTTTTTATTTATTTTTTTAAATATTAGCAGTTTTTTTTTGTAAATTTACTAATATTTCTTTTACCATTCCAACTAAGCTCTAGGCTAATGCTAGGATATGGTTTACTAAAATAGTTGAATGTCGGGATTCGCACCCTCGACCTCGTGATCGGAAATGCGTATCCTTAAGCATTAGACTATTGACGCTTTAATAAAATGGGATTGTCTGTATGTGCCTAATGCATTTTTGTTACATGTTTTTTTGTATAAAATTTTTGTCTGTCTGTCCGGAAGTCCACCTTCGGTCATGGTAATGTCCGAAATGACTACACTGATTTTAACGGTACTTTTATGGTTAAAGGTAGCTGATATATGCCAAAGTAACATGGTCAATTTTATATTCCACGTAGACGATGTCGCGAGCAATAGCTAGTTTGTTTAACAAAACAGACATAATAACATTTTTATACAGAGATTTTGGTGTCAGAAAGCAACGATAAGAGTTTCTTTATTTTATTTAATTACATATTTGATTAACAGCGTAAGTGGGTTATGGTGAATTTTGAAGGAAACTTTTATCTCTACCTTGTGATAATAAAGTCGGAAGTAAAACGTTCTTATTAAGATGGTAATTATTGAATATAATTAATTATTATATTGGATGTCGGGTGCAGCAGTTAACACGCAAATTTTGCCCTTGAATCACCCTTTTGACTACATTATTACCAGAAGGAAGATTATGAATTGAATAAGGGTTCGTTTACATTGAGCGGGAGAGCAGTGCAGTTTAACGCAAATAAAATGAGATGCATACGATTGAAAAACTTTTTAAATTTACTTTGCGCGTCTTTTATTATCAAGAACAGGAGAAAAGAAGACGTGAAAAGTAATATTAAACCATGTTTTAATGTAAAATTTAATTCTATTTGCTATCAAAATATGCTCAGCGAGGGCAGAGACAACGGTCTATGTGAACGTACCCCAACCCTTACTTTAAAGACGTTCAAACCAATAGACTGGACACAATGGGATGGATATACATAAATACTTGGAAAAACTTCAGCCTTCATTTACTTGGGCAAAAATTAAACACTACCTTATTAAAGCAATAGTCCAATAGAGACTCAAGCAATTAGACTGTACTTGACCTGACATTATGTACATTGACGCGTTAGACGTGATGGTTAGAAGGCTTTCTAAAGCTGTAGGTGCCCTGAGGGAGGCGCGCGCAGTCTATCACTAAACGCCGCACGCGCAGCAACTACAGTAGTCCGCCATTACTAATGCTGCGAAAACTTAACACGTAAACTACGATAAATATATTAAGGTATGAAAATATAGTTTCAAAGTGATTTGTATTAGAAGCCGATATGTCTAGTGAAAAGGCTAAGGATTTAAGGCCAGTGGAAGCGGACTATATTCTTTGCCAGTTGGGCCAGGCAGGTCGTTTCCACCTGCAGGTGTATGTGATGGTCGCGCTGGCTGCCTTCCAGGTTGGATTACTGCATACCACCTATATCTTTCTAGCCGCAGATGTACCTTATCGGTAAGTTTGTTTGAATGAGTAAGGTTTTACTAAATTAAAAATAATAGGATGCATTCTTCATCAGCATGCTTAGGTGAAGAATACGAATCGAATACCTCAATCTTCAAAATAATGTAGCCGTTTATGTTATACATAATTGAACAGATATGTACATGTAAAAAAATAGAAACAAAATGATCAGTTTTAGGCACGTCTGGTGTCAAGTTGAAATGTTTTTTAAAAACCTAAGGCATAGCTTTGATGAAATAGAATTTTTTAATCATTTCATCAAAGCTAATATTAAGTTTTTGTCAGTATTTTCCTGTTACTGCCTTAGCTAAAAAAGCATATTCTATGTATGAAGATATACATATATTGATTGAGGAAAACTAACGTATGCAAGTTTTATCCAGTTCGTTTGTGCGTTCATTCTAAATTCGTTGCAACAGTGATACGACTGCCTGGAATGTGTTGTGAAAGATCGTAATATAATGAGCGCTTAGACTTCCTTTGGTAGAAGGAAACAGGATATTTAATAAAGTGTACAAGAAAACTCTACATCAATTGTTTGATCACAACTAGAGACGTTTAAAAAGTCTGAGTCATCTAAAAGACTGAACACATCTTACTAATATTATAAATTCGAATGTTTGGATGTTTGTTTGAAGCTATATGGACGGCGGTTACGGATCTCGATGAAGTTAGGCATACATATAGAACATAGTCGAAAAGAACACATAGGCTACTAATTAAGATTTTTTTTAATTCCGCGCGGATTGAGTCGCGGGCGACAGTAATTAATGCGTGAAGCGAAGACTATTATATACCTTCTTTTTAATAAAATAGTTGGATTTCGAGCAATAGGCGACCGCTCGTAGTAGTGCCGTGTGTAATTAACCTATGCAGTTATCCTGTTCAAACTTTCACTTAATTGAATTTATGTTTTGCAATTTGCAAGTCTCGCTGGAGGAACGAGCTTTTGTTATGACAGAGTCTATCACGAATATTTGCGTGTCAGTTGCATGAACGTATTCGTAACGTCATTGATAAAATTTGTGTACTCGTGCTACAGCACTGAAAATATGCGCTGCGCTACCGTTTTGTCTGTTACTGTTACGTAAATACGTAAATTAAATAATTTCATATTATTTAAGTATTTAAAATACATATAAAGAAATCACAAAAAGTGTCTTTCTGTCGTACTCAGAGTAATTAGTTGGTCCCCTTAGTATGAGGCAAGAGACTAATTAACGACTTTGCGACAGTTAGACTGTTTTTATAATTTTCTAAATGTCTTATTTTTAAGAGTGAAATGCCAGAAGAGAGGGAAGAAAATGGGTTTGCTGTAGTGCCATAGAGAGGCGTAGGATACAATTATTAGTTTTTATTTGTTTATATAGGTTACTAGTTATTTTGTCGGTATACTGACCTTTATTTAACTTTGGACACACCTCTATTGGTATCAGGTCAAGAACGAAAGTAATGAGTTTTTATCAATTTATGTGTCAGTATTTCAATTGTTCAATACGACCTTAGGGTTGCTGGAGAAAGGTCAATTGTTATAAATGTACACGATATTTAATCATCGATATATTTAAGAATTTAAATTATATAATTAAAATACTATTATTATGTACAAATTACATTGCAGCAGATTTGTAAAACCTGTTAATGTACTGTGAGGAAGACAATCCGAAAATGTGGCAGTGTCCCAACACTAGCCTTACTAAAATGTCGATGTTTGTGTCCCCTCACTATTCATTCTGACACTGGACATTGTAACGAAAGCATGTCATTCGCGCTAAAGGATTCTAATTAATAATGTCTAAAAGTACTAAGCATCCTAAGAATATATCTAAACTTTAGGAATAGAAAGGAGGATAATCATGCAAATATTAATTTTTATATATATAGAGTTAAGACGAAGTTTGGCTGTTGTAACTGTATTAGACAGAAGGTTAGGTTTACACGTTCATGGTATAATGATCAACTTGGCCATTGTCAGCGCGTTGTCGTTTAAAATGTCGTTTGAAGAGTTTTTTTGTTTTATATTTATTTGTGTAACCGAATGCAATAACAAATATGATGTAATAAGAACTGTTTTTGTCATAAAACGTCACAAGAGTCAGTTGATCTGTTCAACGTTAACTTATTATTAGATTCCCTATTAGAAAACGTAACATCAAAAACCGGACCGGTTAAAATAAATCCTAAAAGACAATTCTATCAGTCATATAAATCAGAAGAAGAAGTATCAAGGCGGTGTTTGATTATTTCTGTCAGACAAGAAACTATAGCTGACAAGATGACTTAGTTTCAATTGCCCACAAAGCCAGATAAATGTGTCGTACTCAGTTGTAAGCTTGTGTTGTTTCGTAATACAATTTGCAATAGAGTTGAGTCATCAAGAGATGTTACTAGACATGGTAATGACAGTGCTCTTGGCATTTAGACGTCTGTGAAAGGGATGCGGGATAATTGTGGCAATTGCATGTCTTGATTGTAGATAATTGAGGAGATGCACAACACTGCAGTGTGGTAAATGTTTAATCGAATAAGTGGGCGTGATAATGCTTAAAACATGTGTAGGTGGTATTAGATAAGTAATTCTAGAGATGTTTTTAAGGTGAATATACAATAAGCATTTTTTTCAAAAATTTCTATGTTATGTAACGTTTTTACGAATGGTTTATGAAAGCGTGATACTAGAAAATATCCTAGAGCTGCTCGTTGTGCTGATACAAGTGCATAACACAAACGTTAAAAATGTTTTTTTTATAGCTTCAAACCCCAACTCTAAATCAATTGAGGCATGTTTAAACCATGTTGATTTAATTTCTGTTGATTTCTAATTAAGTTATGGTATTTGTTTCACTTTGAAACTTAATAGGTTTCATTATTTATTTAGACCGTTCTCTCACGTAGGTTTGCGTAAGGCAATCATTCTTTAATCAACATTCTGAACTATCTAAAATCCAATTCAGTGTGTGGCAACACGGTCATTTTTACTTGTATATGACAGTAAAATAAGACTAACTGGAACTGAATAGAATTCACTTTGTTTATTTATTTTGTAGGTAAGTATTTCATTGCACGGGCTTTTTTAAAAAAAACGCATTAAAGTTTATGCTCCGTGAACTGTCTAATCAGTAAATTTGCTATTAATTTATTAAAGGTGTTTATTTTACTAACGTGTCAAGGGAATTTTAATTTATTTTGAGATTAATATCGCTATATGTTTATAATTAATATTAACTATATTTTTACTGTATATAAAAAGATCAATTTCATATAACGTTGGTCAACTGGCATATTTTTTGCCTAATAATAATCAAGAAATTTTTCGAAATCGACTTTGAATGTGTAATTCAATTTATGTATTGTTACAAT